TCGAACTGTGAGCGACAGACCAATTCCGGTTCTGATCGATCCCAAGACTGTCCGAGTCGTTGCTGAAACCCACGCATCCATCGAGCCGGGCACCGGACTCCGGACACTGGACAGAGCCATCGCCCAAGCCCAGCCCCGGAGCACCATCTCCACGCCACTCTCTACCTTCACCTTGACCCGCCCGTGCTCGGCTTTGCGGCGCCCGTTCACCGCGGCTCACTTCCCCGACTTCTCGAGACCGCCGATGCGGCCGCCGACATCGTAACACCACGACCCGACACCCGGCGGGGGCACCAAAACCAGAACCATGGGGTTCCTCGGCGTCTACAAGGCCGTCTACGACTACGCCCCTCAGGCCGATGGGGAGCTGCAGATTACCGAGGGGGATATTCTCTACGTGCTGGAAAAGAGTCAGGACGATGACTGGTGGAAGGCCAAGAAGAAGGCCTCGGCCGACGATGACGACGAGCCCGTTGGCCTGATTCCGAACAACTACATTGAAGAGGTATGTGCTGTGCCTGCCCCGGCATTCCAGTGGTGCAGTTGCTGATGCAGTGTTTGCCGACCTCCAGGCCGATCCTGTGGGCAAGGCCCGCGCCCTTTTCGAGTACACGCGACAGACGGACGAGGAGCTCTCGTTCCCCGAGGACGCGCAACTCAGCGTCTACGACATTTCGGATCCCGACTGGATCCTCGTCGGCCACGATGGTGACTACGGCTTCGCTCCCGCCAATTACATCGAGATGGACGACGGCTCCGGCGGGGACGACGAGGCGGAATCGTCAATTCCCGCCCCGCCACCGCTCCCAGTGAGGGCGCCGGCCGACGACGTTGCGAGCCCCCCTCTGCCGTCTAGAAACCCGCCATCCGCGGAAAGCAGCCCGACGGCCCCGAACCCCGCCGCTGCGCTGGCTGGCTTGATGGCGAGCCGGGCGGCGTCTCAGTCCCATACCCCGGCGCCCCTGGCCTTGCCGCCACGACAGCCCTACGTCGCCGACGATTCCGACAACGACAACGATGCGAAGTCGCCTCCTCTTCCCACCCGCCCCCGTGAAAACCCGCAGATTTCTGCGCCCGCCCCCGAGGCATCCTATCGACCCAGCCCGCCACCGGAGCAGCCGAGCCACGACGAGTACAGTCCCCGAACCCCGCAGAACCCGCAAACGGCCGCCATCACGCCCGGAGGCTTTCACATGTACAACATCAACGAGATGATTTCGGTCATGGGCAAGAAGAAGAAGATGCCCACCACGTTGGGCATCAACCTGAGGACGGGCGTCATCCTCATCGCGCCCGAGCGCGCCCAGGACGGCCCGTCGCACGAGTGGCCGGCTCACCAGATGACGCACTACTCGCGCGAGGGCAAGCACGTCTTTATGGAGCTCGTGAAGCCCAGCAAGAGCATCGACTTTCACGCGGGCGCCAAGGACACCGCCGAGGAGATCGTGGCTATGCTCGGCGAACTGGCCGGCGCGTCGCGCGCCGAGGGTCTGCGCGAGGTCATCCTGGCGGGAACGGGGCAGGTGCAAAGGAAGGGGACCATCTTGTACGACTTTATGGCACAGGGAGACGACGAGGTCACGGTGGGGGTGGGTGATGAGGTTATCATCATCGACGACGGCAAGAGCGACGAGTGGTGGCACGTGCGGCGGGTCAAGAACGGCAAGGAGGGCGTGGTACCTAGCAGCTACATCGAAATCACGGGAACGGCGGACGTGCCGGTTCCGTCGTCCAGCGCCGGCATCAACGCGGGGAGGTCCACCGTGGAGCAGAATCGCCTCGAGGAGCAGCGCCTGACCAAGGAGGCAGTCAAGGCTGCGCAGCGCGAGGATCAGCGCGAGCGGGAGATGGAAAAGCGGAACCCAAGCAAGCGCGATGGCGGCCGTGCGGACGGGTCCGGGTCGTCAAAGACAAGTAAGCTGGGACCGATCTGGTGGGTATGCAGGGTTGGTGTGCTAATCTGGTGACTTTAGAACCCGACAAGAGCAAGGTGCGCGAGTGGACGGATCGTACCGGCACATTCAGCGTCGAGGCCCAGTTCATCGGTCTCAAGGACGGGAAAATCAACCTCCACAAGATGAATGGTGTTAAGATTGCCGTGCCGGTCTCCAAGATGTCGCTGGAGGACTTGGAGTACGTGGAACGCGCTACCGGGATCTCTCTGGACGAGGACAAGCCGCTCTCCGAGCTCAAGAAGAAGAAGACGGCCGAAAGGTCTGCAGCGTCAAGCGGACGTGTGGGCGCCACCATCGAGCCCAAGAAGGGCGACTACGACTGGTTCCAATTCTTTTTGGGGTGCGGCATCCATGTCGGCGTTTGCGAGCGCTACGCCCAGGCCTTCTCGAGGGACTCGATGGATGAGAGTGTGCTGCCCGACGTGGACGCCAGCGTACTCCGCAACTTGGGTCTGCGGGAAGGAGACATTATCAAGGTGATGAGGTACCTGGACAACAAGTATGGGCGCAGCAAGAACGGAACGGCCGACGACACCGAGGGGGGGTTGTTCTCCGGGCCCGGAGGCACTCTCCGGAACAACACGAGGAAGGGGCGTCCCGCGCCGCCAGTCTCGACGAACAACGTTGTCGACCCCAAGGCCTTCTCCCAGTCGGCTGGTGATGAGGGGCAAGCGTCGTCTCCCAGCGAGCCAGCGCAGAGCAGCCAGCCTGCCAGCAGGTCAAAGCCCTCCAGTGGCTTTGATGACGATGCCTGGAGTGTCAAGCCGGCCAAGACAAAGACCCCTGAGCCGGCGTCGCAGCCGGCCGCCAAAGCCCCCGAGCGAGCACCGGCACCCGCTGCCGCTCCCGCGCCGAAGCCTCTCACGGGCTCGATGCAGGAGCTTTCTCTTCTCACGCAACCGTTGGAGCCCGAGAAAGTACAGCCTTCTGCGCCGGCCCTCCCTCCCCTCAATCTTGCGCCTGCGCCTGCTCCGGTTCCAGCGACCGCCGCCGCGCCAGCTCAAATTGCCCAGCCAACTGGGGCGACGCCACAGTTCTTTACCGGAATGGCGCCACCAACTGTCAACGGCCAACTCGGTCAACTTCCCCAGGCCCTTGCGCGTCAACGGCCGATGGCGCCCCAGTACACTCAAGGCCAGGGAGCACTGATGCCACCGCCGCCGCCATCTAGGCCATTGTCAGCGCCGCAGTCAGCCCAGCCCAGTGTCTTTGCCCCTCCACCTCTCCAACCCCAGATGACGGGGTACGTGACACAAGTCGCCCCCCCCGGCCAGAGTCTGAACGACATCAACCAAGCACGCCTCCAACAGCAATACATGCATCAGCAGCAGCAGCAGCAGCAACAGCAATTGCAGCAACAGCAGCAGCAGATGCAGCAGATGCAAGGCATGATGCCCATGATGACAGGCGTTGCTCCTCAACAGACCGGCTTCCCGAACCAGTTCATCCCTCAACAAACCGGCATGATGAACCCCCAGCAACCAATGGGTCTTCCGATGCAAGCGCAACCCACCGGTTTCGGAGCCTTTGGCCAGCCCCCGCAGCAGCCCCCCCAAGGATTCGGCGTCAACTCGTTCCTGCCCGCCCCCCTCGAGCCCCAGCGCACCGCGATGCCGGGCCCGCAGATCGCCCAGCCCACGGGATTCGCCGGGGGCTTCGGCCAGCCGGCCCCTCAGCAGCAACCGCAACCCACGGGCTACGGGATGCAGCCGCTCGTGCCGCAGCAGACGGGCCCGCCACCGCCGGTGAGGTTCGGGGTCAATCCCGAAGCCAAGAAGATTGCGCCGCAGGCGACGGGGAGGAGGGCGAACCTGGCGGCTGCTAGTGAGTATTCCTCTTTTGTGTGTGATTTCCCAGTGATGAGTAGAGCTGACGTTGTATGATGTAGCGCCGCAAAATCCATTCGGGTTCTAGGCTCTTTTGGCAAGCGACTGTTGTCAGATCTCCAACCCCATTCCGTCAATGTTCTTTTGCGTTTGCGCGCACAAAGAGGGGAGGGGCTGTAGTTTGGTGGGACTACGATGTGGTCCGAAACGGGGTGGGAGGCACGCTGACATGATGGGGGTCATCGGATAGCTACGATGTCTGACCTTGTTGTGTTGTAAGTCGGAGCGTCCACTATGTGTGGGATGTGAGGGTGGGAGTCATTGGAAGGGGGGTAGCTGTCGGCATGGCGGAAAGATGGGGGGTTGGTGAAAGTGTACGGCACACTGTAGCGAGCGCATCATTGATCAGGAAGAAGGGGGTTGGCGATGGAGTGACCGGGTGCGTGCGAAAGCAGTTTAATACGTAGCAGCGAATTCCATGGATACTACATATGCTTTTGAGACCTCGGTCGTGATGCATGGCAAAGCTGGGTGATGTTTTCTCCTTTAGGTGCGGAAGGTTGAGCCGTGAGGTTAAAGGGGGCAAGACCTCCACTTCATCAGAGGTTAAAACGCAATCCCTGAACATCAAAAGCATCACATCCCCCGTGGCGCAACTGGCTAGCGCGTCAGACTGTTAATCTGGAGGTTCTTAGTTCAATCCTAAGCGGGGGAGAAGATTTATCTTTTTGCATCTTCCACAGATGTGGTGCGGATATTCGTGACTCGTTTCATCCACTTTTGGGACGGTGGGTGTGTCATGCAGTCCCATGTATATTTTTTGCAGTCCCGGCACGTTCAGGATGGATCATAGGTCGCCGGTTTAGATTTTGACTTGACATATGTTTCAAGGAAGGCGCAATTCTGAGAGAGGTGGACTATGGTGTATTGGACGGGACTCGGGACTGAAACCTAATGCCAACCTTCATTGACAGCCGTTCTCCCTCGGGGGTTTCCCAAAGACATCTGCGTACGGAAACACAGTGCGAGCCCCTTTTTTCCCCAAATGCCAAACATCAACACCAACGTCAGCCGGCGTCTTCGAGCATGATCGCATGCCCTTTCCTAAGTTGCATACTATGTCAATACCACCAAAAAGAACCCATACGCAGCAGCAATGAACACGAGTCATGGTGGGCAATTCTACCACCCCCAAAAAAGGGGACCAAAAAATAACATCCTCCCCCGCTTAGGATTGAACTAAGAACCTCCAGATTAACAGTCTGACGCGCTAGCCAGTTGCGCCACGGGGGATGTTCGGTTTCCGGTTGATGTGTCCTCGCAGTGAAACTACTGCCTTTGGTGCGTGTGCAGCCGGAGAGTGGGTACCGTTCCGGCTCCAGACTCGGGACTACGCAAGCTGAGATGCTCACGCCAGAAGTTCTTGGGTGGACACGCATCGTATGGGAAGTGCAGAGTCTGTGTCTTGCATTGATGGGCGCAGGCGTGGAGCTTGCTTTGGAGTGTTGAGTAGCAGGGGGAAGTAAGTGGTGATGCGATGGGGGATGGGTTTCTCGGTCGATATTAGAATCGCCACCTTTTCGGTGTGTTGTCTCTTCCAATCTGAGAGCAAGTCAAAAGGTACGGTACATGGGCGTCACATTGTGATGATGGGAGCAAATTCCCCAACCAACATCTGCAGCAGTCACGGTGGAAAACACAATGTGAGTGAGACAGAAACCCAGGTCCGATTAACCAAAACTAGGTACATCGAGAAGAGAAAACTTATATAGAAAAGAGCAGCCGCGGCCACCGCAGTGAACCGCAACGCCACGATGGGAAAATGCAAGCGCCATGCGTTTCCTGGCCGACCGATTCCTCCACCCGGCCCCCCGCATGCTTGCCATGGAACGAAGAGGAAGTTGATGATTGTTTGTCCAAGTGCCACTGGTGGTAAGATGCAAGAAAAAATGAACCTTGCTGTCACGAGCCCGCCGCGCTCGGGCGTCTCATGTCAAGAAAGGGGCTGTCTCAAAAGGATTGTACAACGAAGCGAAGAAGCACCGCACCAGATAGGTCGTCATGAAGAGATCTAGGTGGGGTGTCAGGACGAGCAGAAGCAGAGAAGGGGGAGAGCAGGGGAGGCTCACCTATTCGGAGTGAGCGTCGACGATGCCGCGGGCAATGTTGTAGACGGCGTGGAGGTCGCGCTGGGCGAGAGTGCAGGCACCGCCGGGGGTGTTGCAGGAGGCCTCGGCGCTGGCGTCGCGCTTGAAGCAGGGCTGGCCGTTGATGACGCAGCGCTTCTCCTCGGAGCGCTTCTTCCAGCACGGCTGGCCGGGCAGGACGCACCAGCGCTTGTCCTCCTGGGCGGCCTCGGGGGCGGCGTCGCGCTTCCAGCACGGCTGGCCGGGCAGGACGCACCAGGGGGCGGCCTCGCGCTTGAGGCGGGCCTCGGGGGCGAAGGGGAGGCTGCGGGCCTGGTTCTCGTGGGTCGAGGTGATGGCGGAGAGGACGGCCTCGGCGGCGCGCTTGGCCTTCCAGCAGGGCTGGCCGGGCAGGACGCACCAGCGCTTGTCCTCCTCGGCGGCGGCGTCGGGGGCGGCGTCGCGCTTCCAGCAGGGCTGGCCGGGCAGGACGCACCAGGGGTTGGCCTCGCGCTTCTCGTTGGCGATGGAGCGCTTCCAGCACGGCTGGCCGGGGAGGACGCACCAGGGGCTGGCGTCGCGCTTCTCGGTGGCGGTCTCGGTCTCGGTGGGCTCGGCGGCGAAGTGCGAGGGGAGGTTGAGGCCGTAGTAGTAGGAAGACGGGTTGGCCTGGCTGGCGGCAATGGCGAGGGCGAGGGCGTCGATCTGGCGCTTGGCGACAGCGGCGGACGGGCTGAAGCCGTCATCGCGGGCCGAGAGGCCACCGGCGGTCTTGAAGGCCTCGGTCATGGCGCTGGCGGCGGCATCGCGCTTCCAGCACGGCTGGCCGGGCAGGACGCACCAGCGCTTGTCCTCCTGGATGTCGGCATCGCGCTTCCAGCAGGGCTGGCCGGGCAGGACGCACCAGCGCTTGTCCTCCTGGAGCTCGGCAACGGCGGCGGCATCGACGGCGGCCGTGAGGGCGAAGATGAAGAGGGGGGAAGTGACCTTCATGATGGCGGCGGGGGGTATAAACAGAGAGTTCTTTTTTTTGTGTGAAGAAGATGTGTAGGTTGAATGAGTGACCAAGTATGTAGGATGACCCGAAGATTGACAGTGTGGTAAGGAGCAGAAGAGAAGAGCAGAGGGGAGGGTGTTGTGGTGTTTCTTATACAAGATCTCGAGGCTATTGAGAGGCGACTTATTGTGACTTGGAGGGCGAGTCGACTCAGGGGTTCCCGATCTCAAAGCGGCGGGAGGGGCATCTCAGGGCAGCCCCCGGGCCGCGAAAGGAGGAGTGTGATGCTGAAAGAAACATAACTATTGAGCGCGGTTTCTGCATTGTTTGGTGGAGACGGTCGGCATGCTTTGCGTGGACTCGAACGAAGAGGTTGAGGTTTGGCGACGGCGTGGTCAATGCCCCTATTCAGACCCCGATGGGGAAAGACGTCCGACCAGGATTGGTCAACTGCCGCGGCGAGGGCGAGATTCCAGATCGAGTTCGAGAAGCTTTTGTTCAGCCTTCTTTGCTTCCATGGCACGTGTGCAGATTGGGTGTCGTGTGTGAGGATCGCAGCTTTGGGGGTTGTTGCCAAGGTTTGCTATTCAGATGTTTATTCAGACCCCGATTAGGAAAGGGTCAAAGGGGGGGTTGCCAGCAGGGCTTGCCAGGTCCACCCGCCAATTCCACAACCCTCGATCGCAGGCCAGCTCTCCAGTCACCCCCGGACCCGAGACCTCAATGGCCCAGAGGTCATGGGCATGGGATTCGACGATCCGCACTAGTAGGGTTCACGATGACCCCGACAGGCCACAGATATGCAAATGTAATTTTTCCAGACGACAACATGTCACCCCGGCCTTCCATCTGTTTTCGTCGCACTCAATCACTTCGGCTGTCCTCGCGCATGCAAGATGGAGACATGCCGGCCACAAACATGGCGTCATGGGTATTAGGTAGAGAAATCCCCGACACGGGCCCCGAGGCGGCCTGTCTTCTTCGCATCTTTGTGACAGGCCGGCGAGACGCCACCACTCGGCACCCGCCGGTTCGAGGTGGCAGTATGCTCCAGGACGATCATATCATCTTTGTCGTCACAGAAACAGCCTCCGCACGGCATGCCGCACCATTCATCTTCGTCAAGGCATGTCAAGTTGCATGTGGCGTCGACTGCCAGGTACGTTGAGATCCTGGTTGGACAAACGAGCGTCTCTGAATCGAGGCGGGCCTGGAGTCAGCTCGAGATCCCGTTTTCATCTTCAGCCCCACATGCCGTCGTCAACGGAAGATCTCCCGTCCTCGAGATTTTGCCACGGCAAGAGCCGGGCTCTCGGACATGATCTTTTGACGCCTGGCTTCCAGGTTCGGCATGGTTATCGGTGGCTTCCGGGAAGGGTGGCTGCTCCAGCCGAGACTAGGTTTCTTTCGAGGCAGTGGAGGATAAGGTCCGGTCAGTGTTCCGAGTCTTTTCTATTGGATTCGAAAGAAAGATGTCCGTATTCCACCGCCAGCTGTTGATTTGGTACTCACATGGTGCTTTTGCGACTGGTTTTGGAGACTGCACCTCAGGTTTTATGTTTCGATCTTGCAATGATCATGGATTATCTATCTATATGTACCCTTGAATTCCCCTAAGCACCTCTATGAAATCAAACCATGCTCTACTTTGCTAGGTAGTTCTCAGAGCCCTAAATGAACAAACTCCTAACACAATCCGGCAAGCATACCTCCTGAGTAGAACTTGCTCCAACACTCGACCCTCCTCCTTCAAGTGTTGTCAGAGGCCATCCAGGCCATCCCTCACATCACCCACCTGCTCTCCCATCTGGAATCTCTCAAAGGCGAGCGGGGATGTTTCCTCCTCAGCGCTGGCGCCCGCTTTAAAGTCGGGGGACTAAAGAATGGTCCATCTGGACTTGGAGCTTGACGATATTCCAACCAAGTGCTGACGGCTGTCGGAGCTTCGTTCGCCTTGAACTTGAAACTTACCGGTGTTGTTGCGGGTGTCGTTGCGCCCGTCTCCACTTCACTCTCGTCCCACCCTGCCGAGTCTGTGTTGGTCGGGGTTGGTAGTACGGGGACATTCCTGCACTCCAAAAAGTGAAGCTCGCGCTCCCGGCGGAGGATATTGCGGAGACGTCTTTGGGAGGGCAGGATGGAGCGGCCATCCTTGTGGTTGAAGATGGTGGCCGCGCCGAGGCGCTGCTCAAGCGCTCGTAGACCGTTTATGCGGGTCAGGCAGGTGGTGTTGATGTAGCTGAATGGGCGGCGTCGGTGGGCAGGTGTCTTTTGGGCCGGGGCGCTTTCTGTGGCTGGGTCGACGGCGATGTGATGCGGAGGTGCTGGGAGATCGATGACTCGGACTTGGTGCTCTGGTTTCGCCGTTGCAAGCACCGTGGCCGTTTTGATTTCTTCCGAGTCGTTGCTAGAGTTGCTAGAGTCGCTAGAGTTGCTAGAGCTGCTAGAACGGAGCGATATGTGCCCGAGACTTTTGAAGTGACGTAGAAGACGTTTGGTGGGGGCTTGGAGAAGGGTAATGCTGCAGTGCATTCTTCAGTTGATGCTGACCTCTCCTGTTGGGGTGTTTCTTTTGCTTTGCTGGTTGGGGGTCCGGGGAGGGGCTAAAGGAACTTGAAAGCGATCAGCGAGGGAGAAATGACTGGGAGAGAATTTGACTTTACACTGACCTCATAGCACTTACCTGCTACGTTTTTGGGATTTTTGCGATGTTCGGGACTGGGAAAAAGAAGAAAATAGGAGGAAAACGCAGCACAGGGTGCTGGAGTAGCCTCGGGGTGTTTATGTATGATACTCGTGGGACGAAAGTTTTCCATGATTGCGCGGATAGCCTCGTTGTTCGAGTAAGACAATGTTCAACACCCGTTCATAGGGCTTTCAGATCTGGACCGCCCGTGCTTTCAAAAAACAAAGGTGCTGTCTCCGACTCGGGAAAACCACATTGCTTGTGTGCGGTCAAGGTCATCAAAGGCATTGTTGTTTGGAAGGTGTAACGTTGAGCTTAGCTCGTCGCCCGAGAATGCAGTGCAGGCAAGTTCAAGTTGCATCATGGACGCGTGTAGTATCTGTATTTGAATTTACCTTGAAGGTTGGCCTCCCTTCCATGATGGAACAGTCCTTCTTGTGAACCCACGTCTCCAGAAAAGCAGCACCCATTCGCACCTGCCTCA